GAGCTTTTTCAGACTTCCTAAATAACTTAAACCACACTTGGGAAGGTTTAATAAAGAAACTTAGGTTATGTAATATATTCAAGTGTATGTGCTAAATATGAAGACATTATTGTTGTGAAAATAATGTAAAGATACAATTTAGCAGTTACTGTACCTGAGTTCATTCTGAGATAATCAGCTTTTTTCAATGTGTTAGCACATACTTTTGAAAGTTGTCTAGGCACTTAATAGTCCATAAAAATCCAGTTTAGAACATGACATGACTGTCACTTCCAGATGTGAATGTGTGTAAATTATATGGATCATCATTCTGTGTCTGCAATCCTAGTTACTGGGAATATTTCTGTTGTGGAAGAATACTAAGATAAGGGTCAGAAAAATTCAATTTACAGCCATAGGAAAATATTAAAGTAGTTTATGGGCTGATTTCAGGTTGTTCATAGATGTTGTAGTTTTTTTGTTTTGAGCTCTTATGACATAGGTATGAAAATTAGGTGATTTAAAACGTTTATTGTTGCTGAACTTACAGGGTTTTTTAGTTGGTGGTGGTGGTTTAGGTTTTTGTTTTTTTAAATAGAAATTAATCTTGTTTCAGATAAGACCAGCATGTCAAAATAGCACTTTCTGTGCTATTTACAAAAAATGTATTTTAGATTGGTACTTGTATGAGGTTAAAAGAAGCTCTAGTTTAGATTAGTACCATCCTGTTTACTGTCAGAAGTTGTTATACATAGACTTTATGGCCAGTACATAAATGAAGAGTAGAAAATGCCTGTCACAGAACATGCCCCCAGTTATTTTCATTTTAAAATTCTAAGAATATTTCTGTTTTCACAAACAATGATTGACTCTTCTAACAGTATTGTTCGAATAAGTCAGGTACTTGTTTTTTTCTCCTTAACAGAGATGATTAATGGTTGGTAACATACACATATTAACAGTACTAGCTTATAGCATTTTATGTATCCATATGTATAATGCCTGTGGCCTGGCTGTTACTAGCCTCATCCACCAACACTTCCAAAACTGTGAATAGACAGTCAGCTTAGTGACAGAGCAGTATAATTGATCATACCAAAGAATGAAAAATGTAACTCAGTAACTTTTTAAAATACAAGATAGTAGACCTATTTTATGTTTCAAATTGGTGTCAGCAGTGAACCAGGTTCAATTAAAAGATAATGACTTCTATTGCTTTCTTTTATTCACAGATTTTGAATGTCCACAATGTGTTAGTTGTGGTGTCCCGCTGGTATGGAGGTATTCTCCTGGGACCAGATCGTTTCAAACATATAAACAATTGTGCAAGAAATGTACTTGTGGAGTACGACTATGTACCATCAACGGTACGTTTCGTCCTTCCAGAATGAAGGTGTTTGCATGTGAACTTGTGTGACTTTCCACTGTTAGATGAAGCCAGAAGAAAAGTAATACAACCTGTGTGAATGGATAAACAAGTCCAAATTTTCATAAATCTCTGTGACCTATTTGTACTGTTCATATTAAAAATAATTCTCATGGGTGACCTTGGGAGAATACTTGTGTTTTACAAGAATATTTTTAAAATTTTGCAATGCTTGTTTTTCATTTCAGGAAGAGTCATCTAGACAAGCCGGAAAGAGCAAAAAGATAAGGAAGGATAACAAGAAGAGAACAGAACACTAATTTATTTTTTAAAAACTTTAAAAGAGTATTTTGCACATATTTATACAAAAACCCCCTGAACCTTGCTGCCTTATCTTATAGAATGGACATATTGTATTCAGAAGAGAATTCAATAAAGCCATAGATATATTTTCATCTTGTTTTGTGATTTCTTTTGCTGTTCTGAAGTAGAGCTTAGACACAAGTTTTCTGTTTCTTACACATCAGAGCTCCTTGTTACAAGGACAGTGCAGCATCTGGAACTATTGCTCCATCCAGTCCCTTCCCACCAAACAACAGTTGACTAATTGATAATGTGGATTTCTGATCTCCATTCCTGGATTCAAATATGTGTCTTGTGTTAGTAATTGAATTCTGTAGTTTGTTGTACTGAGAGTGGGACTAGAGTCATTCATACACCATGTCACTTAAAAAGTTTCAGATACTCCTTTGTGAAAGGAAAGCATGGGGTTGAGTGTGGTGTTTGGAGTGCCTGGTCCTGCCTGTGCAGTTCCTGATCAGATGCTAGATAGGGCCTGCTTGTTGACATATGGAAGACTGAATATAGGCAGTGAGCTAAGAAATGTGATGAAACTACTACAGAATTTCTTTGAGGATTGTTCTGTGATAGTTGGCACTCAAGGACCCTGTTGAAAAGATGAGGATTTTGTTTTACATAATTAAAGGAACCAGCAAAATTGACCATACAATCAGTGAGCAGAATGAATCCCTGGTCCTTTAAAATGTCTGAAAATAGACCATCGGAGTGGAAATGCATTTTTACTTTCACACCATTTCTTTCAGAGAGAGCATGAAATGCTGTCTAACTGTCTTGTGGGCACTTCTGGTTAAAGAACTTACAGTCCCTTCCTATTTTTGTTTGCAAGCATTTCCTAAGTTTAAACTTCCTTTTTTTTTTTAAAGGAATAATACAACAAGAGAAAGAGATTCCAAAAATGTCTGATGACAACTCTTAACTTCTAAAATTCTGCTGGGACGTTATTTTTAATGTTAAACTGAAGCAGCAGTTTTAACCATTTTTGTTATCAAATACTGTAAGGTTTTTAAGACATACTGCCCACTTGTGGAAGAGTTACAAATTACATTACCTTGGAAAAGAAAGAAAAGAAAGATGATACAATTAATTTATACCCAAAATACAATTGCCTGTCATTAAAATATGTCAACAAGGAATCAAACATTACCAGAAAAGGGTGGATAGTGGCTTTTGTCTTTTTGTCCACTCTGTTGTATCTTTTTATTTTCCTGCTTTTGCTTTGTTATTCTGAAAATTAATCAGGAGTAGAGCTGAACACAGATTAGCCATTACAGTGTTAGTTTCCTACAAGGTAGTATCTGCATTTTTTTTTTTTCCTTTGTGTCTCAAACCTAAACGAGCAGACCAAGAGTTTGTATCTGCTCTCTGATTGGGATAACTCATTAGCTGAGTACTTTCTGAAGAACTGCTTGGTGGTTTTGCTCTCAGGCATTTCCTCTAAATGTCCCGCACGCATCTGGAAATCATTCTGAAATATGGAAAGTCACATTTTGAAAATCTTAACTTTTAAAAGTGGAGATAATTCTCTTTCTTACAGCAGCACACCAATTCTGGGCTGTTAGTAATCTCGTCATATTGCAGGTAATTCAGGGTGGTGTTTCTACTGTATAGCATGTGTTTAATGTGGGGCAAAGAAGGAAGGGAAGGTGAAGATGGGACATTTATTTGTGGATGCTTTTGGTGTGTTCATCTTTGCATTTATTGCCTAGCATGTCTATTTCAGTAAGAAATAAAGCAGTTTATTAGCTACTTTAATATTTTTCTAGCTAAACTAGATGTTCTAGACTAATTTAATCACTCTCATAGCCACACACACAGAAAAATTCTGCTAAAAGCTCATGAAATGTGTCCACTATTGAACTTCACTTCATATGTATAGATGCCTTGCGACACATAGGCTTTCCAAGCATGGTGTGGAAGACTTGGGTGTTCAAGATTGCAAGAAATCAAGTTAGATCTAACATCCAATAAGAAATTTTGAGGGAGGAGGGGGGATACAATTAGGCAGCTACATACTCCTGGGAAGCACTCCCAAGATTTCAGCCATGTAGCAAGGTCAGCTGGTTCTCATGAAAAACAATGAAACTGCTGAATTTTGTTCTGAGGCTTCAGTATGGCTGGCAGAAGAAAGGCTACTAAGGGTATTACTTAGTAATTGTGCCACAGTGTGTTTTCTGCACTACCTGGACATGAAATAAAGCTAAGCCAGTGATGGACATACATGCTGTGAAGATATTTGCATGGATAATAAAGTTTTGCCTTTTTTTACTGCTGCCATTCAAACATTCAGTAAAAGCACTTGGCAAACACTAATGAATTTGTTCCCACAACAGAGGCAAAGGCATGACAGCCAACAGTTTTCAAATTTAAGTATTTAAAATTAGACACCAAAGTGTTTTTGGAACCCGTAATAAAAATGATTGAATTCTTACAACTGTAGAATACTCACAGCTCTCTGCAAGTGCCTTCATTATTCATACAAAATAAAAGCATTGGTGGAAGACACACGATTTTTCCCACCAGTGTGGAAAGAAAAGCCTCATCCTGTTAACTGCCAAGCTCTCATTCAGGGAGTCTGTATTTCCTTGGTTCTGGGACAACAGCAGCTGGTGCTTTGTCACTGAGGCTGCTGCTAAGATTTTTGAAACAGTGAGAGTTTTGAACTGATCTCTGAGGGTTGGACCATTACAGATAAACTGCTCTGGCAAATAACTGGATGTACGCTTATTTACATTGTATCAGTTTTCAGCCCCAGAGTCCACAAAAAGGAGAACAATAACAACAACAAAGTTGACCGGTGCCTTTCATCAGCAAAAAGTATAAATATATAGAGAGGGACCAAAGGCTTGGTGAATTGCAACAATGTCAGAAAAACAAGGATAAAATTAAAAAGTAGTTTAAATTCTCATTAAGATATGTACACAGGTTGAAAAAAAAATAGAAAAAGTTGTTGTATATAATGCTAGCAAGCAGAAGACATCAGGAAGGGAGGGAGGAAAGCAAGAGGGAGCCTCAAATCAACCCTCCTGACCTCCACAGATAAGAATCATGTTGCTTAAAGAAGAACTTGCATTTGAAAAAAACGGCATATTTCCTAAGCAGAAGTCTGCTAGAGTTCTGCTTTAAAAGAATCTTAGGAAGACTAGATTTATCTAGCATAATTTTTTTTTTCCCCTCCTGGGACAATTATTTTTGGATGCTTATTGGATTTTTGACCCATCCTATTTTCACACCTGAGGAATCTCAACTTTTTGGATAACTTTGCCAGATACAACTTCCTTCCCAGACTGACCTGACCTGGATACCCACCATGCACAACAGCACTGCTGGAACTCTGCACACGGCTGCGACGTGTAACGAGACTTGGCCCACTCAGCCGCTGAGCTCCGAGTTCTCACTGGGTGTGTTGGTGTTGCTGGCTTTCCTCATGGTGCTGCTGTGTGTGGTGACCATCCTTGGAAACATCCTGGTGATCCTTGCTTTTGTTATGGACAGAAAGCTGAGGCATCGGAGTAACTATTTCTTTCTGAATCTTGCTGTTTCTGACTTTGCAGTGGGTAAGTCACCAGCTGTGGAGCCATGTGCTAATTGTGTTGTAGGACTCTTAGGAGAAGCACTGGTGTTTATTTTCTGTGTGTTTTCTTCTGAGAGAACTATTTCCCAGCTGTGTCTGGGGGAAGGATGGGGAATGGTGGAAGTTGCATGAAGTATTTTAGAAGCCTATGATTTTATTTTAGAAGCTTATGATTTTTCAGAAAAACAAAGATGCTATGTTAAGCAGATAATATTTAATGTTCAGGATAAAATACTACTGTGGGAATTTTATGGAAAAACAAAGAATGGGAGTTGCTTGTGAAGAGTTTTGGCTGAAATCCAGATAGTCAGATCAAATACAGCCTGTATTGTCTGACAGATCTTGCATACATGGTCAATACATGGTATGATTACATACATGCTCAATATCTTTTCTTCTTTTCTGCTGTCACACAATATAGAACATCACCTGAATTTTGTGACTAAATAGTGATGAATGCTATTTTTAAACATTTTGCTGTACATGCTCTGTCTAGAGTGATGCCTTTGGAATATATGTTTTTATAGGCAGATAACACAGAATAGTGTTTACTTCAGCAGGTAGTCAACTGCTCCTTCCTTTAGCAGGTAGTGTTAATTGGAGAGGTAACAATGATACATAATAAACATGACACACCTTCCAGAGAGGTATTAATTATAAGAATGTCACTAGTACCTAGTTTATAATAGAGGTTCTCTGGCTGCAGGATAATACAAAGGCTATGTGGCAATTCCAGCCAGTATTGATCAAACTTTTATCAGATACCGCAGAAATGTTTCTCTGTTCTCATGCAGTTTAATGCTGGCTGATGTGTGCATTCGGTTTTTTTCCACAGGTGTGTTCTGTATGCCGTTGTACATCCCTTATGCCCTGACGGGGACATGGCACTTGGGAAGAAGCCTGTGCAAGCTCTGGCTGGTCGTGGACTATCTCGTGTGCACAGCTTCAGTGTTTAACATCGTCCTCATCAGCTATGACCGTTTCCTGTCAGTTACAAAAGCTGTAAGAATAACGTTTCTATTTATTGCTTTATATATGCTGGGATTTCTATAAAACTCAGAGTGTTTCACAATTAACACTTTAAGCTAAAGGGTGCTTTGTTATTGGTACCGTTTTTTAATGGAGAAACAATGCTCCTTCCATGTTGCACTGGGACTTAGAGATAGGACATTGCCTTGCCTATTATTTCAATGTTACCCTCATGCCTGCACTAGAAATTATTTAATTACACTGCATAGGAGGTGGGAAGGTCAAGGTGGGAAAGAGACAGAAGGCATGTGGAGAACTTGGGACTTTGGCCATTAGAAGTGGTGGTGGTGATGAAAACTAGATTGAGTCAAGGATGTGATAAGGCTTAGATAAATTTTGTAAGAAGAGGGTATGGAGAGACATGTGAGATGGACTGAGTGAAGATCAGATGAAGATCTGAATTACCACAGGGGGTGATTGACATGTGCTGACAATGACCAGTTGAGTGGAAACTGATCCCTTGAAGTAAAAAGAAATATACTAAAATATGTGGAGAGGTAAGAGATGTTTCTTGAGTGTTGTTGTTCTTCTGTTTCAGAAGGTATTCAAGGAATCAAGTAATAAATATTATTAGTATAAAGTATTAAGTAATAGAATTACTTACTAATACTATTAAATTAAGTAATCAATATTAACATTCACCATTTCTAAGCTCTACTTTATATTTGGTCATAGAATCATAGAAAGGTTTGGATTGGAAGAGACCATAAAGATTACCTGGCTCCAGCCCTCTATGATGGGTAGGGACACCTTCCATTAGACCAGGTTACTCAGAGCTCCATCCAACGTGGGCTTGAACACTTCCAGGGGTGGGGCATCCACAACATCTCTGGTCAACCTGTTCCAGTGCCTCACCACCATTACAGTAAAGAATTTCTTCCTAATATCTGATCTGCACTTACTCTTTTTTGTTTAAAATCCATTGTTCCTTGTCCTATCTTTATTTGCCCTTCAGAGCCTGTCTGCATTCAGGTCACCTTTCTTCTCCAGGCTGATGAGTCTGCTTGCTTGAATGACATTTTTCATATTAGACTGGGAGGTTCTCATTTGGGAAATACTGATATGATGCCTAATCACTTTCTCTTCTACCCTAGTGGTGTGGTTTTACAGTTAGTTTTTGCAGGTTTGTTGGTTTTGAATGTTGTTTTTTTTTAAAGCTGGACAGTAAAGTATAAAAATCTCTGCATTTAAAATAATAATGAAGCTGAAGAGCTCAGAATAGGAAAAATGTAAATTAAAGGGTCTCTTTAACCTAGCTGAGATCCATGTTCTTAAGCAATTGCTGATGGTCTTCATTTACATCATCACATTCCACTTTTCTTCTTTAGGTTATTAGGATGGAGTGAGTCTAGGAATGTGTAACAGAGCTGTTATCCAAAGAAAAGACATCATGCCTCCTCATAGACTTGGAATCCACCTCTGCCTCTGCTGCAAACCTAGCCTGTGGCTGGGGTCCAGACTTAACAATTTGTGGAGCTGTGCCCAGTTTCCTGTTTTCTGACTCTAAATTGAGCTGCTTGTGGTCTTGCACAGGGCAGCAAATTCATTACTGCAAACTTGGAGCTGTGCACACGAGATAGTCGTGTAAAGCTAATATGATGCTTTAAGATGTAGAGGACTCTGAATCTTCAGGCTACAGATATTTAAAACAGAAAATTCAAACCAATGTGTATAACCCACTACTGCTCTGATAGTCAGTGGTGAAATAGGGACAATGCCCTTGGTATGGTGTGTGGTTGTGAAGGTGTCATTCATTATTATTTGTGTAGCATGCAGGTGCCCTCCTAATGAACAGCATAGGAATCTGATGAGGAAGGCAGCAGTCCTGAGGAAAGCCTGAGATGCCAAATGTTGAACAGTATAGAGGAAATAAACTTGTCTGGCTTTTCATTAACTTATCTTCTTGTGCTATGAAAGATGGAGGGGACCAAGAGTATGGCTGGGCTATTACAGGGTGGGCTTAGCTCTTGTATTTTCTAACCTTGGATGCTTTTATTTTAATTCTTAATATGCTGTCTGGGTAGACATAAAAGCATCAAGATTTTCAGTAGTGGAATGAACTGCTTACAAGGTCAGGCTAACATTAAAATAGGGTGATTCAATAAGGCAGGGGTGTTACAGTATATGTCTGGGATAGATTTTCCTGATATGGCAAGAGGAAATAGTATGAAAAATTGTACTGTCTGGTGTTTGCAGTCTCATATGGCAATCTGTCTAATATAGAAGGATTCTATTTTTCCTGGGCCTGTAGGAACTCCCACAGCTGAGTCTGGGCTGATGAATCATAAAGCTATTCCTTACCAATTCCTTATTGCTACTTTACTGTGTGGTGGAAACAAGCTATGCCCTTTCATACCTGGAAGCCAAATGATGGTTTAGCCATCATAATTTCTACTCCTCTCCTATGTCCAGTATTAAAATAAATCACAGAGCTGCAGTGTAAGGAGAACAAGACTATCAGTTTTTCAGAGCCTCATATAGTGAAGACGTTCTAGGAGCCTGGGCACATACAACACAAATACTGTATTTGGCTTAATTACATATGGGTGTCTGACATGATTTTCCCAAAATGTTGTCTGAATATGTGATGTGTCCTTTTTCCCTTGCAGGTATCCTACAGAGCCCAGCAGGGAATAATGTCCAGCCCTGCCATCCAGATGGTGGCCATCTGGGTCTTTGCCTTCCTCCTGTACTGCCCAGCCATCCTGTTTTGGGAGCACCTGGCTGGACACAGCGTGGTAGCAGCGGATCAGTGCTACGCTGAGTTCTTCAACAACTGGTACTTCCTCCTGTGTGCATCCACCCTGGAGTTCTTTGTGCCGCTGCTCTTGGTGAGCTACTTCAACATGCGCATCTTCCAGAACATCCAGAGGCGCCAGCGGCGTGGCAGCGTGCAGGACTGTGAGCCTGCAAGGAGCAGCAGCCTGTTCTGGAGGTTTTGTGGCTTGCCAAGGCCAGGGGCATCATCTCCTTCGTCAGAAGCAGAGGACAGTGTTTCTTCACTAACGAGGTCATGGAGACCAACAGTGGTGGCTAATGCTCCATCTCAAACAGAAACCAGTTCTATGGCTCTCAAAAGGAACTTTTCCACTTCTTTTTGTTCAAGGACGGGATCAAAACTGCAGAGGGACAAGAAAGCAGCAAAGTCTCTTGCCATAATTGTCTGTGTGTTTGCCATTTGCTGGGCCCCATACTCTTTATTAATGATTATTCGTGGGGCCTGCCAGGGAAAGTGCATCCATAACTTCCTGTATGAAGCAACCTTTTGGCTTTTGTGGATCAATTCTTCTTTGAACCCATTTCTTTACCCTCTCTGTCACATGAGGTTTCGAATGGCTTTTCTGAAGATATTATGTCCCAAAAAGTTCGCAACATTGAGATCTGTTAATACGCCTTCTTTTTAGAGAGGTAGAAGTGTCTTGCAGATAAGGTTCCTCTGTTATTTAGTGATACCTTTTCATATGTATCATTGGCATAAATAGAGGAAGAAACTATTTGTTTACTAATGACATTGTTTAAGAGTGCAGCAGAGTTATGTAGTTTCCTTGATACTGATAATTTTCAGGATCTCATTTTTGGTTTTGCTGGTATGATGCCAGATTGGTTACCATCTAGTGCATTGTAAAGAACAACAAGCTTTGCTGGATGTCCTCTTGGTTTGTGAATGTGATGTATATTTTTTTTCCTTCTCTCTTTTATTTCTTTCCTTTGTTTAGTACAAAGAGCTGGCACTGTGAAAGAACTCTGCTATCGCTGTCTCCATGGAGAGTCACTGGAGGGAGATACCTGCTCATGTATGTGTTTAAGTAAAATTTGTGTCCTATTTATGAACCTAAAGCTATCAGTGAAGAAGCAATTCTGCTGCATTTTTAATATATTGTAAAAATACTCACGGAAGCAGTATATTTTTATTTTATAAACTATTATGAAGACAAGAGTGTGCCTTCTCCTTGTTATAATCCCCATAGAGAGCAATATGAAAGTGAGTGGACTGCCTAACTTGCCATATCTGTCCTTTACAAATTTTAATGTAGTGCATACCTGGCATTGCAGGACAAAGTACATATAAGTTAGTAATTCTGAATGATTTTCAGAGAACGAAATTTTCCATACTAAGAGAATTTTGAGATTGGTTATCAAAATTGTCAGACATGAATGGTTGTTAGTCTTATCACCTGTACTCTTTTTCCACCTGATAGTGCTGCCTCTTTGGTCACACTTAAATGATGTTTAGTGACAGATCTGTGCACTATGTGATTTCCTAAAAGATAGGCCAGGCTTGGGCACATGATCAAATTCCTGTTGAATTAGCAGAGCAAGCAATGCTAAGTTCATACTGGATTTATGATTTTGGCTGGCTGTGCGAGAATAGACAATAGACTCTCCAGTGTAAAGCTTTGCAAGTGCAAAGATATTCCATCAAAATGTCTGGAACAAATTTGATCTGACAGATTGATTTTTGTACTAGATCAGTTCTTTGTGTCCTGTTACTGTGACATTATATGGATATCTCTGCCGCAGAACAAATATCAAACTGGATTTTTTCAATTAGGGAGCAAGGACCATATTCACTGCTTGAGAATGAGGTTTACAGAGGTCTGGAAGCTGATACAGAGATGTCTTAAGCAGCACTTAACAAACAAAGAAGTTGACTGTCCGGTGCTGAAAGGAGTGAGTAGATGTGTTGGAGAAAGCAATGGAGTTTGATTACACCCCATTCCATGTGCCAAACTTTCTTACCATGTATTGAGTGTTGCAACTCACTCAGAAGGCTTTCATGGATGGGTAAGTGAGATTCACTGGCTACGGTTTTTCTCTCCTTTTATGTAATTTTATTCCTCTTTGTTTATAAATATAAAAATGTATGAAGATGGAAAGAGAAATCTGATGCACAGAACAATGAAGACTAGTATTCAATTTAAATAGTTTTAAAACGAATTTGAAATTGGCTTTAGAAATGTTGCCATAACAAAGTACTCCTTTGCAAACACAATTCAAATGCATGGAAGCAGCCTATTTATAACACAAAAGTTGATGGCTTTGAAGAGCTAGAATGTCTTTCTGTTCAGAGGTCTGGAACTGAAGACTTCTCTTGCCAGTTTTCACACTGTTGGAAGATTATCTTTCCCCATTCATTCTCGCTATGGTCCTTGCCCCACGTGGATAGTGTTACCAATTGTGAGCCTAATTGCTAAGAGAGATGCAGCTTCAGGAGGAGGTCATTGATTCAGCACAGCTGTTTTTACTGTCATGAGCTGTGGTGCTGCCATAGATTTTGTAGGGTTTGTTTTTCTGTGATGCCTAAAAAAATCTAAACACACACACAGAGTTCAAACATTTATAGAATAGCTGGTGTATTAAACATCTGTTAAACAGAGAATCTGAAGATAGGCCCAAGATAGAAATGAATTTGAGTTGTCTGCTTTTCTACCCCTATGCTTTTAGTATAAAAATTCAGTTTGCATTTTGTGTTTAAAGAATGTGTTGTTCATTTTGGAAAAAAAACCTACAAGATTATTGTCTAGATAAACTAAGTCTACATTTTGCAGTGCTGGAAAACTAGTTAGGGAATTTGCCAGGCAGAACAATCTGTAGCAAACTTGAAACAACATTGCATGGTGAAGCTACTAGAGATCAGTGTTTTTTTAGAGTCTGTTTTACACGCACAGTGTTCAAACTTTTTTCTCACACCACTCCTGTGTAATAGACGAATATGTTGTATTTTTCTAATTGTTGAAAATTTTGCTTAGTGCTCTCAGGGTAAATCAAGCACTGGGTTGCTGTGCCCACAGCTTTAAAATTGTCTTTGTCAGGGTGGCATCATAAATATTTTCCCTTGTAAATCATAAATCAGACATATCTCAGGGTTATGGTAAGATACTTATTCAGCATTTGTTCTTATGCCCTGACTGAAATGGATGTTTCTTGCCAAAGAGTTTTCTAACCCAGGTGTCTCTAACCAGTCACTCATCCATTTCAATATTTCATGTCCTTGAATTTTCTTCTGTCTTTGCAGAGGTTCAGTAGACCTTCTAAATACATGGTGACAGTAGCTATATGACTTTGTGGGCTTCAACTCAAATCACACCAGTTTTTTTTCTAATCTGACCCTCTCAGATTTAAAAAAAACCCCAAAAACTCAACAAATAAAAAATACATGTTGGAAGAAATTGTGTTATCTTTTTTTGTTTATTTCTGGAACAAATATTAAATCCTAATGATTCTCCTAATGACCATGTCCTTTATTTTCCAAAAGAAAGACCACATAGATTTCCCCGAGTGCCACACAGGACTATGATTAAAACTTCAACATTTTATTTATTCCCTAATTTTAAAAGCAAATGAATACATTCCTCTTGCTCACTAATTCAGTAATTTTATCAAAGAAGACAACCAAGTTTCTCAGGCATGATTTACCCTCGGTAAGTCCATGCTGACTGCTTCCAGTCACTTTCTCCTCCCCCAGGTCCTCAGAAATACCTTCCAAGAGGACCCATTCCATTATTTTCCCAAGGACTAAAGACAATCTGACCTTTTGTCCTTGTGGCAGCATTTGAAGATTGTTGCAATATTTGCCTTTCTTCAGTTGTTGGGAATTTCCCTTTATCTCCATGACCATTCTAAGAGGATAGAAAGTGGCCTTGCAAAGGTGGTAGCTGGATCTCTTGATAGCCCAGTGGGTTCCATGAACTTTTATGGGTCAAGTCCCTTCAAGTAATCCTGCTTTATTCTCACCTGCTTGTGACAGTTCTCATCTGTGAACTCATTCACTAAGCATGGAGGAAAGGTAGACCTAGTTAGTGAGGAACGAAGCTAAGGAAGCACTGGGTACCTCAGCCTTATCTACACCTGCTGTCACTGGATCACCGATCCCATCCAGAAAAGTACCCATGTTTTTATTATTCATCATTTTGCTGTTAATAGGGTGGCTAAAGTTCTTCATGTTTCTCTTCATGTCCTTTACAAACTTTAGCTCTAGGTGAGGTTTTGTTTTCCTAACATATTCTTATGTGGCCAGGAAACATATTCTAAATATCTTCTTTGTGTTCTGTCCCTCCTTCAAACTCCTTCATGCTGCCTTTTTGCATTGTAGTCTCCAGGGTTAGCCACTGTCATGATACTTCTGCTTGTTTTCTTGAGAGCTGGGATGGTCTATTCTTGTGCATGGAGGTCGCTGTTCTTAGAGGCCTGCAGCTTCCCTGAGCTCCTTGTCTTTTGGATCTGCCACTCATGGGATTCCCACTACCACTTTCCTAAACAGAAATCTGCTAACCTCAAGCCCATGGTCTGCACTGGTACTCTCCTTCCTCATCCCATTGAGGATCTGGAGTTCCACTACCTCAGTCACTATATCTGAGTCTGGCACTGATAACACATCCCTACACAGACCCTCTTTATCACTGGGCAGCTGATTCAGCTGTGCATCACCCTCATTAGCCCACACAGGACTTGTATCTGAAAGTTCCCCCTGACAGCCTCCAGGAACCTTGTTCACTGCTAGGACCTGACGTGTTGCACTTCAAGCAGATGCCATGAGCGCTAAATTCCTATATAAGAAGCAGGTCCTGTGGTCCAGAAGCTTCCTTGAATTGCTTAAAAAAGGCTTAATCACCTCCCTCACCCTGAGCTCTGCAGCATGTTCTCACCACAATGTCACCCATGTCAAGTGTGGCTTGGTGACTGCACAGGAAGCTCTAGTACCTCCTCTGTGCTTCCCAGGCTGCAGCTGTGCACACAGTCCTAAGGGAGCTGTGTCTCTGCCACATTTTGCCATTCCTGAGGTCTCTTCTGTTTCTGTCACCCTACACCTTTTGCTTTAATGACTCTTTACAACATAATTCCCTTTGTTCCTCAGTATGGTAGCAGAGCACTGCACCTTTCCTCCCCACATCTTGCCCACCCTCTCTTTTCTTGTTTCTTGCCCTACATCTTCCCAAACACCTGGCAATATAGCTGCAATTTGAAATGCAGATGACACAGTGTGCCATGATGTTACAGAGTCACTGAGTGTCAACCACAGCCATAGCCTACCAAATTCTGTGCACTCCTATCAAAATAAATGGAAGGGATATCTTTACTCACACCTGAAAAGGGCTAAAGACTTGGTACCTCATGGAGTAAAAGCTTATCTAACATTACTTGGGAAATGCAGGATTAGCTTGGCCACACTATAAAGACCTCCAAAGTCCAAGTATTTGGTTTGTTCTGCCCAGAGTTTCTGGTTAGGGTGAGCTGAAGAGGTATTGGTGGTGCTTCTGCTGCATGTAACTGTATTACAAATGTTCTGTAACCAGAAACACTAAGAAATATCTCCTTGTTATTAACTGTAAAATTTAAAAAGTGCTATAGCAGCAAGTGCAAAAGTGTCAACATTTTACTGTAAGGGAAATAGAATTGTAATAATTTTAATCCTGTTAACCACTGAAATGGTGAAAATGAGATATGGTTTTGGATTCAGCACCATCTGATGTGTAAAACCACTTACACATTGCTAGTATGGAAACTGTTTGACTG